GAGAGAGAGAGAGAGGGTTAAGTCGGGAGTATCACGGTTCTAATAGAGGCGCATGGGGCCCTTGAGTGATCATTCATTTACAAAACAAGCGTAAAACACAATGACTTTAAAACCCTATCTTGGGTGTGAAAAGAAGAAACCATGAGTTTTTTTTTTTTGGGGTAAGTGAAACCCTCAGTTTCTTTCAAATAGATCATTGTCAATGGCTTGTTTTGTCGGTGAGTGTGCTATTTCCATCAATCTTTTGCATCACATATGCTCACAGACGTGTTCATCTTTTGTGGCACCTAGGAATTTGGATGAAGGCATTTGGGGAACTTGCCCAGCAGTCTTTAAGGTGAAACCTGAAAATTTGTGCCATACATTAGAAGCGTATGTTGGTATTAGGTTTATTCTTATTGGATGAAGTTTCCATGAGGCCTAGGTTCTTTGAAAACCAAATAAAGCCTCACTTCAAATCTTCTTGGAAAGCACTTTCGGCCACAAAAATCTCTACGATGGGTCTAAAATTAATTTCTAACACTGACAATAAAATTTGAAACTAAAAAAATTCTTACATGTCTTGTGGATCTTTGAACACTTATTTTTAGGACGAAATTGACGGTTTTGTATTTTTAGTATTTGAAATCCTAAATTATTTTTACAATCATAGTGCTCAAGTCGAGATGATCGATGTAAACGTTTTCCAATACCTGAATTTGTTTTAAAATCATAATGCTCAAGTCGAGATGATCGATGTAAAAGTTTTCCAATAGTTGAATTACAATTTTTTGATGGTGAAGAAGTGAAGCTTTATTTATTTTAATAGAGCTGCAGCCTTACCTATCAAACCATTTTCCTAATCTTAAGGCCCAGACTAGACTGCATGTAATGACCGATAACTGTACATTTAATTTTTTTACTTCATAGTTTTTTGTGTGGAGTTTGCGCCTTTGGTAAATTGTGTCCTTATGTTTCCTTCTGGACTTCATTATTTTTCGCTCTACCAAGTTTGACTTTCGATTGATAACTGTCCCCTCTTGTTGCTGTAGAGCTTGTTGCATTGAAAAGGATTAGAATCGCAATCAAACTAGATTGAAGAAAATGGTTTCCAACTCTTTTTGACACGGTTAGCTGAGATTTCATTGAGGAAATGAAAAGAGGGGGTTTTCAACTCCAACTTTGAAACTTGTGCACCTAGAAGAGTCCCAAGAATATGTTATCTCTTTCAGTGGATACTCCTTAGTGATCAGAAACAGTTCTACATGGCAAATATACTTAAAAAGACAATGGTAGAGGACAACATCCACTTTAGGCACATGGGAGACTGTGACATGGCACATGCACTGGACACCCATCACCATCATACCCATCAATTAAGCCTAGAAAAATGGCAGTTAAATTTAGACCAGCCTTAATTGGACTTAACTAGATTGTACATATATATACTTCTCTTTAGTAACGAAAAAATTTATATAAAGTTGTAACCTTAAAATATAGAATTAAGTTGCACATCAAAAATCCATCATTAAAGGTTTTTTTTTAATGTTGAAAAACCCTCTAATAGATCATCTCAACATTGACATATATAATTATGAAAAGAAAAAAAGATTTTGAGTTGTAGAAATTGTGTATTTTGCAACATTATTTGAACCGTCTATTTTCAAGATTTTCAGGTGTTTATAGATCTACTTGATTTGAACTATTTTTGGAGTTTGAGATTTTATAATTAGCGATGAAAATAGATTCTCAAGCCATCCTAAGAATTTTTTACACCAAATCTATATTTATGATAAAATTTGGAGGTGCACCTTAATTTGATTGTTTAAGGTTGAAACCTTAACAAACCACACCCTTTTAGTAATGAATTTGAAGGCTATTTCTTGTTCTGTATACACCAGGGTACTGGTTTAGTTTCAAACAATGTTTGAGAAACTTGAATGAGGTTCTGACTCGCCAGACATCTAATTCCAACTCTACCGATCCGATTCAAGTGTTTCAAAAATTGTACCAGGCTATATTTAACAAAAAAATTTAAAAACCTTGAAAACCAAGAGAACCCCTGGAATCGCCGACCTCCAATCCAATCTAACTTAGGTGGACATGTGATTTTTAATTACTTGTTTCAGAGGAGTTTTAAATAGTTTGGTGTTGAAAACGGAAGGTTGTTCCTCTTAATGTCCATCAAAAGGGCAGTTTTGAGGAACTTGGTTGCATCCTGTTTGAAATCAAATGGGTAGTACTACTTGGATTTTCTTGAATTTTAGTTTCCAGAGGCCGTAAACAATTAAAGTAAGGTGCACCTTTAAATAGTGCCGAAATATGTTCTTTTAGTAACATAAATCTTTGTGATGGTTTGAAAAGTTATTTTCATCTCTAATTACAAAATTGAAAGATACAAAAATAGTGTAAATCAAACATATCTATGAACACTTGAAAATCTTAAAAATTGATACAAGATGCATTATTTCTAAAACTTGAAATTTATTTGTGCTCATGTCCATGCATCTTGAGGTCGAGATGACCGCGTTGAGGGTTTTTCACCATCGAAACATCATCTTCTACTAAATTTTTGAGGTGACCCTTAATTTAATTTTTTTAAGGCCTCACCCTTATATAAACCTTTTTGTTAGTAAAAAGAAAAAAATTGGGAAGGGAAAATGGCCTCCCCGTATCTTGTGGACGGTGGAGAGGTGCACAAGCACCCTTTTAATGGCCCAAATTAAGCATGGCACGTCCAACAACCTCACAAAAAGAGTTTCATACATTATTTTTTATATTATTGAAGATGATATTAATCTGAAATTTGGATTTATTTAATTTAAGATGATATTAATCTGAAATTTGGATTATAATGTAGTTTTATATGGAGAATTAAATTAAAATAATAAAGAAATATTTTGAATAAAAAGTTGAACAAAATACCCCTAAATCGTTTTAAGGGTTCAATATATTTTTATTGCTAGATGAAAATAAAAACATATGTTAAATTTTAGATAAATATTATTTTTAAATGAAAATAAAAATAAAATATAAATTTTTTTTGGGCCATTGGTCTATGCTAAATTCAATTTGAGCTATTGAAACTTTCAGGGTCCACATCATCTATATGCTTCCCATCCGTAAAAATCAATTATGTGATGATAAACCTTGGACATCAAAACTTAGTGTGTCAACGGAGCAATTATGAGATTTCAATGGAAACAAAGATGTGAAAAAGGGATTTGGGTTTTGGTGTGTCGGCATACCCCATTGAAAATGAAATCTCCTCCAAAAATTCACATTAGAAAGGTCCTTTAGATCAATATTGTAGACTCGCTATGCGTCGTATTCGATTCGGTGATAAAAATGAATCAATTCGGTGCTTCAGCTAATTCGGAAGATAACTTCATACTTTGGTTTTTTAATTTAATATAAATAAATTAGATATTTATATATATAATATATAAAAATAATGAAAAAATTAAAAATAAATTTTTTTAAAAAAATATTTTTTTATATGGATATTTCTATGCTTCAGTCAAATCGGCTTGAAGCAGATCCGAATATGACCAAAGCAACCTGAAGTGACCCGAATATGCCCGAAGCAGTAAGACCAAGCTTCGCTCCAGTCTAGGTCTGTTTACGATGCAAATTGGAGAGATCTTCACAAGAAGATCCCTCAGATCCGTATCACAAACTGATTTTTTAAAAGAGTGATAGAGAGTGGGACAATCAAATTCTGATCCGAGTTCAGATCTACTCAAAAGTGAGCAGATCTGCTCTTAGATCAGTGGCATAGCCAGCATTGATCCGAAATATAAAATACAATATTAAAACTAATTTAATTCTAATAAAATAAACAAAAGTGAAAAGAAACACATGAAAGAGTAAAAATATATCTGATCGGGCCAGTTGGCCCGGGGCTCTCAAGGCTTCGAGGCCTCGTCCGTATCAGTACTGACTGAGTTTATGTCGTGCGCCATCTTTGTTTTTCTTCACGTTTTGACCAGGCCTTGGCTTGGTTGAATGGATCTCTTAATCTAAGGGGCAGCACGTGGCTTAAAGCTAAGGTTTTCCTAGGTCTACATTTTTCTCAGGTCTCACCATCTCTAAGTTTTCTCTGGGCACACTGGCTAATAAAGTTTCAAAAGTCTAATATAAAATCATCCCAAAATGACCTCTTTACAAGATTAAAATCACTTGGAATAGGTAACAAACCATAACCAGAAGATTTCTTAGCCTGGACTACCGTTTTGGTGGTCCAAGGTTTGGGCGACATGGGTAGTATCGCCTAGACCAAAATGGTCCAGGTTCATTGAACCTGGCAAAAAATGATTCAGCATGCAGAACTTTCCAATATGGGGTAGTCTGATCTGGGCGACATTAGCAGTGTCGCCAGACCAAATATGCTAAAAATTGGCAGATTCTAGTTTGGGGTGATTTTGGGGTTGTCGGGATGCTACCTACCAAAAATCAGCCAATTTAGGTCAGTCTAGGCTGGGTGACATTGTTGATCGTCTAGACCAAAATTTTCCAAAATCGCTAAATTCCCCTTTTGGGGGGATCTATGGGCTCTTATGATGCTGCTTACCAAAATTTGGGTCAAAAAGAGATATTTTGTTATTGTTAATGATTGTTTTACTAAAACAGGGTATTCTGCAGGATTCTAGATCACATGGTAGGCAGTATAGACTATGGTGGTCTATGGTCTAGGTGTTTACTGGGATAATGTAGTCCTAAGGGTTCAAGAATATTACAGAATTTATCAGTTTTAAAAATAGGGTTTCTACAAGACCTAAAATACAAAGGATTTGGCCTCTTCGGCTGTAGCGGAGCAAATTTAACAACACTGCTTTATATATATAGAATTTCATTGATAGACCACCATAAATCTCTAAAAGACAAAAATTACACTTTGAACTTAAAAAGCAAATTTTATTTTTAAGACTGTTATTTTAATTCAGGATTGTATACTACGAGACCATTTATCTTTGTTATAAGGAGGTCACAATTGCTATTAGTCATTAGTTGTCAAATTGGATAGCTTGGAGTGTGTCTCAAAGTTGAGAAATATTTGTTTTAATACTTTGAATCTAATAAATGATGCAGTCACAACCACTCGATTTAAATCTGACGGGCAAGAGTGGTTGTCACGTCCTTGAATTAAAAAAAAATGACTACTTCATGTAATTACCGAAAAATGGAAAAGCAAAAAGACGCCCAAAGCTAATGACTGCTTCAGGCTGGAGTCGCCTGACTTTTCCAACGAGTTGTTTTCCAACGTGGAGCTTGAGGTGAGGAGCACCCTCTCTTTGAGGAGAAACGCAGTGATAAATTCGAGGCTCTTAAGGTGGAGAATAGGTTGTTGGGATACAGAAGAAGGCGATAGAGGACATTCGGGCCGAGGTGATTGCCAGGAGACATGGCAGTTTTGGCCACAAAATGGATTCCAGTGAGCGACCAGCGGGTTTAGAGATAAGTGGAAGAGAGAGCTGTATGGTAATTGAAACACCAGGTAGCTCTTTTATTTTGAAAAACATTAACCCTCCTGTCCAGTATTTGTGTTATCGGACAAGAGGAGAACTTGGAAAAAGAAAAAAAAAACATCGCCGGAGGTACTCGTAATTTCAGACAAATGTGAGCCTATTTGATAATTAAACCCCCCTCTAATAATATTCGTACGTAAAATTCTCTAAAGTAAACAAAAGAACAAAATAAGGGAAAAAAAGAAGAAGAAGACAAGCTAAGCTGGGTCATCGGCCCATTGTGAGTACTACATGTTAAAGTGATTTAAAAAGTATTCCATATCCTAAATCCACGTTAATCTCAACATTTTTTCATATATATATATATATATATATATATATAATA